AAATATGCCCTGTCTGAAGTCACCTCTCACCGCAAGCAGGAATCAGAAGAACACGAGTTCACGATCAATCCTATCATATCAATGTGTATCAGACTTATCGGCTCTCCCCTCACCTCTCACAGCATGTCTCCATCGACCGATCCTCAATCATTGGTCATCCATCACAATTGACCCGACAATTCCTGCCCCTATTGTACGAGATGCGAGATCTACTCAAGGAAACCTCTCTAGTCGAACAAACAACTATGTAATGTGCATTTTCTCGATGCAATCCTTACTTACACAATGCGTTCAAAAAAATCCTCAAAGATTTTTGAAACGCTTGTTTTGTCAAATCATCATACGTCACTCGACCTGGACCAAACTTACCAAAACGGAATGACATGAATTGGCTTTGACTATATTATCCGAGAAGCAGGCACCGTCTCCATAGCTCAGTGGTTTAGAGCGGCCGCCTGCAGTCAACGTGCTCATAGCGGCAGGTCACGTGTTCAAATCACGTTGGGGACTTTCTTTTTGCAAGTCAAAGCGCTTCTTGCCTATGGATGGCAAGATTCTTTTGCTGATGGGTATGCTTTTTTCTTTATGTTGGGCTCTTATTTCACTTGTATTTGTCTTTGCCAATCTTTCTTCAATCATTGTTGCTTTCACAGACTCAAACACATGTAAAAGTGTTTGCCAATAGATTAGACAAGGAGTGAGTGTGAAAATAAATAATTGGCCCCCAAGAAGAGAGGTACTTTTGGATGAATGGGCTGGTCTCTTTATCAATGGTTGTTTTCTATCTGGTAATTTTGGCAAATCTTTAAGTAAATGAGCATTTGAAGAATGATTCATGACCATCATCTCTCTTCAGAACCCCAATCTTGATGCTCTTGTTTCCAAGTGGTTGTGTTTCTGATCTTATGTCTATTGTTCAAATGAGCTTTGTTGGTTATAGCTTAGAGTTTTCTTTGATCTATTGTTCAGGCATATTATGATTATATTCTCTTTAGAAGTATTTCTTAGTAATGTGGGGCTGGCCCTTTATCTTCCAAATGTATTGTAGAGGTATCCTGGCTAAAGCCCTTAATAATGGGGAGGTAGCACATGTTGATCAGAATGCAAAAACAATTAAATTGGTCTGAGTTATCAGTTGAGGAATGCAGGATATCAAAGTGAGGGCCCAATTTTTGACAAGCATCACCAGTTTTCAATATCTACCGCTTAAGCATATTTATAAACTTGAAAGGATGCTTGGGTACATCTTTTTGTCCAGAATTTGATATTACGTGTTGCTTATAAGTGAGCATCTCCTGAATTTTAAGGATTGTGATTAGAAGTTTGGATCACGTGTATACTTGCTCTATTATACCTGAGATGATAAGAGATGTTGCAATCTACATTTTGGAAAATTGTGATCATGAGGTTCGCCCACCACATGATGATGACAGTGAAAGAAGATGCATGGGAGGGGAGATACAGGGTGTTATTACATGATGATGTACAACACAATAATTATGAATTCGAGGATAAGAAAAATATCAGCTCCATTGTTTGATCTTATTTGACAATTTGATCAAGCTTGATGTCTCTCAATTCAAATCCAACCAATTGACCAGCTTCATTAAGCTTGTCTCTCCATTCGAACTCGTACTCGTCTTTGAAGCCAATGTAGATGCCACGAACTTGAGTAGAGACTGTTGAAGGAGCTGTTGATACGAATACCATGTCATCAGCACACGCAAGTCTTTTTAATCTGAGTCAATAAGTGGACTGACCTGCACCCTGATCCACGGGCGGGGTTTCGGTTGTCTTTTGGCCCAACCACTTTGTGCCATAGTTCAGTATGCCACCTCCGACGATTCCTAGAAGAGCATTGCCTTTGTTGTTAGGTATTTTCTTCGACAGGTCACGATGACCAGAGGCGATGTTTTTAGAGCCTTTCACCAGGCTATTCGACAATGCGAAATATTTGACTGAATCGATCATTGTCCTAGATGTTTTCAACGTTGTTGAGAGTTCTTCTTCGTTCAATTCGGAATTTGTAGCCAATTGATGAATTGTCTTATTTGCAAGGGCAGCAGCAACCCACGTAGTGACTTGCAATACCTTTATTGCAAAAAATAATGTCCACTCACCGTTGTAATTCATCATGATATCAAAGAATGTTTGCTAACCTCGGCGCTGGAACCTACGGCCACAAGATTGTGGGTTGCTACTTGAGCTGCGAGCGTTGTCGGCCCTAATAGAGGAGCCAATCCTGTGAGTGTTAAAGGGATGACCACCAGTGCAAGACTGGCGCCGGTCAAGCTGACCAGCCCAATGGTTTGAGCCGATTGAATGATTGAATAGCGATTGGTATTTGTGTCAAGTCTAGATTCAAAGGTGAACCTGAAGGACACCAAGCAGAATGTTACTCTATTGCACCCAAATTTGAGTTTATGGCAATGAAGACGCGCGGACTAGACGATGAATGAAGGGCTCGAGGCTTACCAGACGCTACCTACTTCTAACGACCAAGTTTCAGCAGGTTTAAGTGAATTCTTGAAATGGATGGGACAGATGTGAGAGAGAGCGAGGTTAAGAGTTGCGGAGGTTCGATTGTGAATTCGTAAGGTAGGCATGTCGATGGGAAGATTACGATGATGAGTTGAGATGATGAGTTGAGATGATGAGTTGAGATGATGAGTTGATGAAGGTTTGGAGGCTAAAATAATCAAAAGTTGAAATTCAAGTGAAGCCTATTCTGCCCAGCAGGTCGAAATGTTTGAGGTTCTTAATAAGCCCTTCGGTCTGCACCGCTTTCTTAATGAAACGGTCGATGACATATCACACTTCTCTCGGCCATCTTTACTCAAATAATATTCACGCCTCACATTCACAGTTTCACTCTGACAGAAGTCATCCTTACATATCCAGATCAGAGTCAATCAAAATGATGAAGAATCACTTCCCCATATAGGTAGATCCTCATGCACCATGATATCAAAAGCGCGTACCCTCCTTTCCACACAGAAAGATCTAGACATAGTTGGGAACGCTACCATCCAAAATTGAAAAGTTGCTGCCGTCTACCGCAGAGAATTGTCCGATCAGTAGCAAACACCTCAAGTTGAAATTCACCATTGGTCCTGCTAGCCTATGTAGGAGAGCTATAGTACGGTCTTGAGGCCTGACGTTGACAATGCAATCTGGAGGGTTATCTCCTCACAATATGCCCCTTGAGCTGACAGTCCGAGATATTGTGATGTCGGGGACGAGACGGAGGAGAGCAGTTGCCGGAATTACAGAGACTTCCGGCCTGGGACATCAAGATGGTATGCAGGATCTCCAGGTGGGGTCGCAGTCTTTACCATTTGTTCAGGTTACTAGGTAGCCTGCTGAGCTGTTGATCTCTCGAAGATACATGGTCGTTTTGCAAGGGCGATTGTCGTGATTGAGCTTGGTGCTACGTACAAGCCGTCAGCATTGGACAGAACATCTTGAAGGGGCCAATTAACAAGCTCACACCCTCATCTCAAGCTATCTCGCATCAAACCCCTCCACCTCTCACTGTTTCTTTCCGCTCTCTCGATGGCTTTTATCGCATTTGCTCATATTCACAAGAAAATCTTTGTCTATATTCATTTTCTTTCAGCATTGACATCTCCACAATTTGCACTACTACTTTACTTATTCATCGGTCAATACACTCCCCTAAATCATAATAAAACAGGATCAAGCTCAAGATGAGAAGTAGTGCAACTTTCATCTTTACTTTTGTGTTTCTATCCGGTCAGACTCATGGGCTTCCAACGCCTGAGGTGAATATAGGTAAGTTGATCAAGCATGCTAAATTGAAGATTGATCAGTTCATCAAGCCAAATATGGTCAACAATTTAGTCAGCATCATCGGATCCAGGAATTTGGTTTCAATATCAATCATTGCACTCAAGCGACAATCTCCGAACGTCCCTTGAGACCTGTAGAAATTCCCCGAGAGATTTGGAAACAGTTATCGAAAGACGGCGCGACTTTAAGATTACACACAGGTACTTCTTCTTTTTGGAGTGGATTATTGGTTTTGTTTCTCAACTTGATTGGAAACCCTTTTAATGTTCAAGTATTGCATACGTCATGTATCAACACCCACTGAGACATACAGCGGTAAAACAGAAGGAGAGGTCATCATTCAAAGCCCAAGTAGTAATGTGCTACTCCGAATAAAATAGGGAATTATAGACGTACTCATACGCGTGAATATTTTGGAACTTGAGTCCGGATCAAAATTCGTAAGGGTACAGCATTGGATTGTGAGAGCTGTTATCGATGAAGATCGGTATTTGGCTGAGAGTATGAGCTATTGTCACTTTGAGGGGCACGGTAAATCCCAAGTCATCATGATTCAAGGCTTAGAGTTTTCTAACTGCATCTGGTCCTCTTTACAAGACCAAGCAGTCTACATTTATCATATTCAGATTGACAATCACATCATAGGCCTCTCTCTTCTTTGATTCACTACAGCTTTTCAACTACAGCTCTCCCTACAAGACTTTGCTCAATTCCTTACAAAAAATCAAGGTTAGTCATAGTCATTGAGTGAGTTACTGATCTTCTTTTTCTTTGCTATTTAAGATAAAATGAAACTTCTACAAGTTCTTCATAGATTGAACTTACCCCATTATCATTCCGATACAAAAGACAATCAGAACTAGCTACCCATCCAGATCAATATCTGAATCTAAATCACAATTTTTTGAGTATCAGAATCTGAGATACATATCATCTACATGAAATGTATGGTCCAACCTATCTTCAAGATCCTTGGAACACGAAACAAAAGTCAGGATAATAGTAAAGTAAATATCAACCTGGTATAAGGATGATTTTCATATGTTTTTATTAAAAAACGAGTACAATATGTGAATCCGATGTTTTTCTTCTGAAGTATGACTTGGAGGGAGTGCAGTGGGCCTTGCCTGACATTGTGCTGATCCCATTAAGCGACTATTGATTCCGTCTATGTGGAGCCCGTCACGGGTCGATTAGCTTAGTTGGTAGAGCGTGGTACTAATAGATTGCCTATACATGCCAAGGTCATGGGTTCGAGCCCCATATGGACCATACTTTTTGGTGCTTGGACCGATGACCTTGGCAGATACACCATTTGGCAAATTCACTGCTGCTTGATTTTTCAATATTGTCAAATGGTGAGTGAAGATCTCAGTTGGTATTGGTAATATGGGGTGGGTCCATGAGGCTAGCTAGCTTGACATAAGCTGCAGTATGTGTTGGAGCTTGTGGAGGGGCAGGCTTGCAACTTAAACATAATTGGCTATCTGATACCTGCAGCTCTCAGAGGTGCTCTTTACACATTAATTTCACCACCTCAAGTAATCCAGAACTTTGATCTTACCTTATGAGATATGGCAGGAATGGTTTTCTGTTTTTCCTGTTCTTTCTCTTCAGATCCTTTTGAACTGCTCCACAAGTCAGCAGTTAATGGATTCATCATTTGCTCAATTTGAAGTTTTACACCCAATTGTGCAGTGACTACATACATATCAATACATAATTGTTTTTAGCCAAGTTATTTGAGACTTCCCCTGGGCTGTGGTTTCTGATTCCCAGGAAGTTTTGGTCAACATGAAAGCCAATTATCACCACAGTTGTGTGATTGAGGTTTTCAAAGTTCATTCTTCAGGACTCCTCTGAAAGCAAATAAATTATGCACAATTCAAAATTTTTGTGAGAATGTACAAGATACATGGGAGCATTCTGGATGATCCATGATCTTTGAAAGATGAAGCAGGATGAGATACAAAAAATTCTCAAACCAGAAATTTTTGTTTGATTAATGCAAGCCTGACTCACAGTTCTAAAAACCCGGAAATTGGTAGCATTGCCAGAAAAACCCCTACTTTATGTAGTAGCTCAAGCAATATCATGGAAAATTTCAGGCAAAAACAGTAGCTTAGAGTACTACTTTTTGCAGTCTTGCAGAGAATTTTGTTTTCCAAAAATGGAATATTACACACAAAACAAAGTGTTATGTAAAAGAGTGTGAAGGCAAAAGTATTTTTTCCTTCAAAAGAAAACCCAAGATGGAGTACATATCAAGATATAATATGTTGTAACATTCAAGGCACAGATGATGCTACTCAACAATGGGCTTGGTAAGGCAGCAAGGAAACCCAAATAATTGGCAAAGAAAAATACCAGAAAAGACCATCTGTAGTATTTTGACTATAAAGAGTTTTTCAAATGGATATGAAGAATTGTTACACACAAGATCAGAAAGGGATCAAGAAGAATATTTCAAGTGAAGTTTATCAAAATAGAATAGACAATTGAGATGATAGCTGAGAAATATAATTCATGCAATTTTCTACCCAACACATTGGTATATTCTAGAGCACACCACTCCATAAACAACTCTGCAGTATGTTTAAGTATTGTTCATATAAGAAAACCTGAATCCAGTTATCCTGAAGAGCCTCTGCAAAAAAGGTAAGTCAGCCAATGTCACCATCTTTTCAAGCAATTTCAAATCAATGTTGTTGCAATATTTCACTGAGCCAATTGATGGTCAAGTTCATCTTGAGTGGTAATTCCTGGTATGGTAATTGTGTGAGGTGAAGTGCAGGGTGAAGGATTATGGTTAGATGTACTTTTGTTATTTGTCTGTATGCTGCTAAGTGTGTTGAGCAGCTGAGCTAATATACTTTGTAATCCTTTGCCTCTGGGAAAAAGAATTATGTGTGCGCCTTCTGATCTCATATACCTCGTATCTCTTGAGATCCTGGTTCCTCCCTCATTGTGTGGAACCTGGATGATTAGAGTGTTAATTTTTATTTCTTATTCATATCTTTTTCATTCTGACTACATGGACCTGTGCTTACTTGTCCCAACAGAACTCCCTGCCACTCTTTCTCTCATTCCTGCTCTCATTGTTGTAAGGCTTCAACTACTACACCCTTCAATACTCATCTTTCATGACTTCTCAGAGTTTGTATAAACTCATTCAAAACCTGTCTGTGCAGGGAGGTGTTGACTCCTCTGCCCTTCACTACTGGTCTTTTTCTCAGAGCTCATATAAACTCACTCAAAAGTCTATCCAGGCTTACGCATCAATTTACTTAAGTTCCCTCTGTGTTGAAATACCAAACAAAACATATCCTGGCAGAGCCAAATTCTGGGTTTCAATGACAGAGGAAATAACATTTTGGTGGTAGAAAAGAGTTTATGAATACAATATTTTTATAAAGTTATGAAATCACTTGAGCTTCAATTATGTTGTGTGAGCAGTTCTTGTGTATCTTTTCTCAACTTGGAATATTCTTTATCTTCCAGATACAAAAGGTTTTATTTTGATCAAAATGATCTCCTTGTGAATTTTGAAAAATCTGTCCAAGCCTGGATAATACACGACAGCTTCAGTTATCTCATATGAACATGGTCATATTGACCATTTTGATAAGTTTCAAGGCATTAATGTGATTGACAGGGTTCTAGACCAGCCAAGCTGGCTAGGCAGGATGTCAGTGAAATCTAAAAATGACAACACTATCATTTGGATTATCCTCCATATTTGACAACATTGTATCTCCACTTCTTGTAGTCTTTCTGGCTCTTTTGAGCTTGACCTCCTTTTCTGCCCTACGTTAAGTTTATTTTATTGGTTGGGACATCTTTTCACACCACTACTAAAGCAGATGAATAGTTCTTGGTAGACATTTGATAAAAAGAATGTATCAGAGAAATTGACATGTTGATTGATGGAGAGGTCAAGACACTAGAAAACACCATTGGAAGATTTGATCAGCTGCAGTTGCAACTTTGAAACTTCAGAAAAGATCTCTTTCTAAGCACGATCAAACCTTTTGATCTTATAGGTGAAGAATGTTTCTGAGTTGAGGGAAAGATGTGCAAGATCAAGGTTCACAACATATTTGAAGTACAAGGGATTTGTACTCGTCTAAAGATAATTTATTCTCAGGCCCTCTTCAACCACCAAAAGGTCATTTCCTCTGTCACGAAGAAAACTGGTTTTCCATGTGAGTCCCTTCTGTGCCTCCATGTTCTATTGCGTGTTTTCCCCCGGGCACTGAGGGGACTTGGTTAAGTTAGCCAATTTCTAAAATCCATTTGTATGAAACGTTGAAAAAAGATAGGAATACATATAAGAGGAACTCCTCTCAGCACCCCAAAAGTATGCAGAAAGATTACAATTGGCCCAAGGGGGGATGCTAAACAAGGGCTTATGTCAGCAAATTTTTTCAAGGGGTAAACTCAGGAGATGGAGAGAAAAGAATGTGTGGTTCAAGTACGACTTACAAGCTTGGGAAGTTGGGAATACTCCCAATCTGATTGATTTTATGTGGTAGTAGTACTAGCCGGAATTTCATCTCCACGAGCATCAGCATCAGCCACCAGCTTCTCGCACAGGTCCCAAAACTCTCGGCCTAATCTCCCTTCCTTATCTTCAGCCAACTTAGTTTTGGTTCCAATCTTCCCAAAAGGAATGAGGTATTCTGCTCTGTTAATCAATTGTGACCAAAAAAGAAAACAATGAATTTCATGTGGGTTAGATGGGAGGGAGTTTGAAGTAGACTGAACTTCATTTGCTTTGACCTCACTTCGGGGGAAGTAGCTGCGTAGAGCGACGTGATCGCGCCATCTTTAGCATGCATTAGTAAGTAGTTTTGGATGAACTATCAAGGGTAGGAAGCAAGTCACGATTTGCTTCAGTTCAAGGCGGGTGATGTTAGCTTGTAGATTGTACAAGATTCAGATCTTGTTCCTCTACGGATACCAAAGATTGTACAAACCATAAAGGGAGCCAAGAATGGATAAGCTTTCAGGCCACCTGGAGCAAAATGGTGCACGATATCAATTGGACGAAGCAATCGGCAGGCGCAGAAAGTGATGAGATGAAGGATATGCATACTTCGAGGTATTTCGGTCGCCACGCCACCTGGGTGCTAAAAGATGTAGAAAAGAGGCGGGACACTGTTAGCGTTTCAGTTTAAAGAAGACTACTTGAAAGAGACGAGGCTGAGAGCTATGAGGACTGACCACCGAGATGCAGATGATTCCAGTGTCGTCCAAACGCTTTTGAAGCTCTTGTGTGAAAACCATATTCTGCGGTGGGTAAGGTTTAAAAAAGCGATACAAAGATATGTGTGATATTACGCTATCTAGTCATCATTCAGGACCAGGATGATGACGTAGGAGGCGAGACAAGGACAGTTACCGAGAGTTTACTATTTCCATATCGGACCGCCGAATTCAAACAACGTTTATTCAAACCATCAAGTGTTGAGAAGTCTGGTGCGGAAGTGAACTTATGCGCCTCACTTGCGACCGTCACAACTCTAACATCTGAACCTTCTAATCCGGAAGTCTTACGTAGAAGAGGGATTAATTTAGTCGTTAAAGCAAAGTGGCCTGTTCCATTACAAGCTTGTACTTCTATTCCATCTGGACTCAATTCATAGGGAGCCATAGCCTGGGTTTTCACACTCGAGTCAGCTACATATGTCTTTGTGAGAGTGAGCTTTGAAGCTATTTGCAGTAAAATGATAGAACAAGTCTAGACTACCCACAATTCCTGCATTATTGACGAGAATATCTAATCTGTCTTCCTTTTGAGTAAAAGTATCGGCAGCCGTCTTTGCAGAGGCAAGTCGAGTGAGGTCAAAGGGAAGGAAATGAAGGTCTGCATTCGAAACTTCTTCCTTGATCCGAGAAATGGCCTCTAAGGTACGTGGCTCACTGCGGCAAGCCATACTGTTGGAAAGGCGGGATAAGTTTTTTTTGATAGTCTTACTTTGGATTGAGCTTGAGGTGAAACGCACTAGACTTTTGCTCCATGACGAGATAATTGGAGGCAGGTGTGATATCCGATTCCAGTGTTGGCACCTAGAGTGAACATTCCAAAGAGTTAAATTCCAATGAATTGAGGATGACTATAGTATTGAAATCACCAGTGACGATAGCCACTCGACCTTTTGATTGATATGGAGAGAGTTGTGTTAGTTTCGTTATGGCGGTGATGAAGATGGTTTGATTTCTTACCAGTAAGATCAGGAATTTGTTCAGCAGTCCAACTAGGTGATTCGAAAAAACCAAAAACCATGACGAGAAAAATTCAATTTGAGTCCAGTGAGAGGTTTGTGGGTTTTTCTGCGCCAGACTTTTCATCTTTCACAATGAGTTGAGCCTATCATAGCGATCTCGATGCTGAGCCCTGAAATGTCGATCGATGACGTCATCGTGGATCGCCTGTCCATGCAGCCGGCGAGCTGAGCGTGGGAGTACAATTCCCAATGGGATCGAACAGCGCAACGGCTGCCTGGCCCAATGGTTAAGGCGCTTGCCTACGATCTGGGTGAAGCAAGAGATTCCAGGTTCGAGTCCTGGGGTGGTCGCACCTAATTTTTGTCTTGAGCCAGGGCGAAAGTTTTTGTCATCAACACGAGACAGGCTGCAACAGCGAAGATCGATGATTGATGGAGAATTGATTGGTTTAAGATGATGGAAGAGAAGAGAAAGAGAGAATGGACTGGATAGGATGGGTAATAGGATATGTACAAATCAAATCAAATCATCATCACTTGACGAGGTTGTGATTGATGAATGGAGAATTTGAAGAAATCTCTTTCAAATCAAACCAAATTTATCAAAATGACTTCATGCATCAAACTTCCAAAGACTGCTTTCATCCTATCATCAAAGCGAACTCCAGTTGAGTCAATCCATCTTAAACTTCTCATCACTTTCACTTGATTAACAACTAGGTCAATTGATCTTTTGTCAGTTTGGAGCTTTTGGTGGTTCACTCAAATCTCACAACGCTGCTCAACTCGGTGGTATCTCGGCAAAAGCGGTTTTAGAATCAGCCAAACTACCTAAATCTATCTCACCCGATTCTGTCATCTTTGGCAACGTACTCTACTCCGATCCATCTGGTCCTTATCTCGCTCGACATGTTTCTCATCATGCCAATCTACCGGTGACCATACCTGCTCTGACCGTCAATAGATTATGCGGAAGTGGTTTTGAGAGCTTAATCAGAGCTACTCAAGAGATCGCTCTGGGTGAATCCTCTCTCGTTCTCACCGGTGGAACAGATAATATGTCACTCTCTCCTTATACTCTTTCTGGATCGAGTCGATTTGGAAATAAATATGGAGTGGATCTTAACCTACAAGATAGCTTGGCACATTCTTTGATCGATCGATTTCCAAAAGCCACACCGATGGGTATCACAGCTGAAAACTTAGCCGAAAAGTATGGTATCACACGACAAGTTTGTCTTTGCATTCTCTACATTTCTATTTGACTACATCTTCTGCCATACTGATGCTCAAACAACCCTCTCATAGGATTGTGATCACTATGCTGTTCAGAGTCAAGAAAGATGGGCAGCTGGAAAAGCATCAGGAGCTTTTGATCAAGAGATCACCCCGATCGAAATCACCTCTCGTAAGGGTAAAATCAACTTTGATACTGATGAACATCCTAGAACACCATCAATCGAAACTTTAGGACGACTCTCACCCGTCTTCAAACCTAACGGTGTGGTCACAGCTGCTAATGCGAGTGGGATTTGTGATGGTGCCTCTGCAAATCTGGTGGCTTCAGAAGAATTTATCAATCAGCATTCTCTCGCCCCGCTTGCACGCATTGTATCTTATCATATTGTTGGAGTCGAACCTAGTCTGATGGGCATCGGGCCCGTAGATGCTGTCAAAGGTGCATTGAAGAAGGCTGGGCTTAGTATTGGACAAATTGATATGTTTGATATCAATGAAGCTTTTGCGGCTCAGTGGCTAGCTGTGGCCAAAGAACTTGATTTACCGAATGATCGAAGTAACATGTTTGGTGGGGCCATTGGTTCGTTGGTGATGTCACAGTCTATATCTTTCCTCATTTATACCCTTCAGAAAGTCTTGCTCATCACAATCAAACTGACTTATGACCATCGTTTCCACTACATGTGCTCAATTCCTGACGATTCGAAACTTCAATCAGCCCTGGGACATCCACTTGCTGCCTCAGGTGCTAGGATCTTAAACAATCTAAGCCATAACCTAAAGCGGTTAAACAAACGATATGGACTTGGAGCAGCTTGTATTGGAGGTGGACAAGGTATTGCGGTGATCATTGAAAGATGCTGAGCCGGATGTATTGATTGTTTTTCTGATGATCAGTTTGTAATGTATCGCAAGTTGAGTATGTTGTAACGCATGACGTATTAGTTTAATTTGACCTTTTATGATGTTGTGATCCTAGTGTTGTAAAATGTTTGAAAAATTACATGATTAGTTAAAAGTAAAGTAAAACCTGACTTCAAAGAGAGTCCCTTTTTTAAAATCTCTTCGCGTTTCCAATGATTACTGAGATGAAATCATTGGAATCATTGGAATCATTAAATTCAAATTGAACTGGGTTAATCGTCTGGCCTTGTAAAGGGAATGACGTAACTCCTATTCCGCAAAACGGAAGGCGTGCCAACGGTTTGGTGGTCTAGTAGTATGATTCACCCTTAGGGTTCTTCAGAATTGAGGTTACTTGGGTGAGGTCCCGGGTTCAATTCCCGGCCAGACCCTCTCTTTTTGCGTTTGGGCTGCCCTGAGAGGAGGAAGCTCTTTCCCCTTGAGGAGAAGCTAATTCAAGGTCATAACACCTCTCAACACTGTACATTTTTTTTGATATTATGCTGTGCATACCAGTTTTGTGGGGTTTATGAATCACAGTGTCAACTTTTTGACAACAGCTTCAAAATAATCTGAAAGGGATGACATCCGCTTACAATCCCAAAAACAGGCTTCAGTTACAGAAGAATTCCACGCGGAGAAAAATCCAGTGTTGTATCTGTTTTCAAGTTGATGTGGTGTATCAATTTCTTAAAAATGAAACAGATTGAAAAACATTTGAGAGAAATTTGAATTGAACAATTCTTACAGCAGTTCATCATTTTTTATTCTGTAAAAGCAAAAGCGCCTCAAGAACAAGCTGTCGACGAGGTCACCTCGGATTGTCTTTGGATCTCAACGGGTATTTTTAGTCTCGATATGTATCGGTTCGTACCGGCCTTTGAGTATGTATGTAAATGATGTTTTCATAACTACAGTTGTATTAATTTCACTTCGCTGAGCCAATCATTGGTGATTTCACTTCAACTTACCTTTGATCAATCATTTCACTACCTATTAACGACAACATGCCCAATATCCTCAGTCCTCAATGGGCTACTACCTCAGTGTTGGAAGACGACGACGACGATGATGATTGGCAAGAGGTCAGTTTCTGTCTCAGTCCAACATCTCCGCCAAACTCATCCATTTTTAATGTCTTGGTCCTTCATATGCTGTCAGATGCCTGTTATTCGTTCAGACAATACAGACCTCGATGATGAGGACAAGAAGAAGTTTAGATATCTAGCTCCCGAAGTTCGTCAATCTCAATTAAGCCCCACTATGCGAAACTTTGGGTCCAATGCTACTGGACAATTACTTGATCTATCAGAAGCTGCAGCTGCAAGAGGTGAAGATTGGCGAGAGAAATCTCATAAAGTAGAAGAATCAAATTATACAAGAGTTGGATTGGATGATGATCCTGAAGAGGACAACCTGAATATGCGAACTCAATACTTATTTGATGACGAGAAAGGAATGACTCCCCTAAATCAGATGCAACAAACGAAGACCTTATTGACAGAGGGTCAACGAATAGCATACGTGGGACTATGTCGGCTCGTGATGAAAGAAATGATTCAAGCTTTGAAGCGTGGAGGACATGATGAGATGGCGCCAGCAGTTGAAAGTATGACACATTGGTCGACAAAAATCATCAGTCGACTTTATCAACATATGGATGTGGAGCCGAAAGGTGAATTTCTGAGAATTTGAGAATTTCCATTTTTTCATTTGATCGATGTCGATTTATGTGTGTATTTCTCACATTGATTCTCTTGAACTTGGCTATGCTATCCATCTACACGGTAATCAGAACAACAAATGATCGAGCAATTAGCCGAACATGGTGTCTCAGCTGATGACCTCGTCCCTTCTCTCATCACCACACATACCGTACCTAATCCGACTTATGACCCCTCAGCCACAAACGAGGACCTCGGACTAGACCCATCGAAGCTTGAGGACTTGAAGCTGCAAGCCGACCAAATTCATCAAGAAGATGCCCTTCAAAACAACGTCCAAGAGTCGGACTCGTCTCGGTCACGGAGTAGCCTCGAAGATGCATGGGCTACAAGGGAAGTTGGGGGTATCTATGAATCTAGTCCTGCTGTCAGCTCTTTGGGGCCGTCTAAGGCTTTCAGTGCATTTGGAGATGGCAGCGACGAAAATTTAACGCAAACCTCGTCCTGGGCAACTAGCTCGAAAACAAGAACCGATAAACCGTCGTCATTTCCCAAATTTACCGCTTCAATAGAGGAAGATGCCGATGATGGTGACATAGGTGACGCACTCTCAACGCCAACACCTAAAGCTCGGCCCACAGATGGTGTACCTATTGAACCCGATCCAGCTCTTACAGGAGAAAGCACTACTGAAACTCATGAATTCTCTGAAAACCCTAATTTGATTGCGCCACTTCCTCATACACTCCCCGGGGTCTCGACAACTCTAACAGCAGCTGACGAAACAGTCACACTCGATATCAGATGGACCGTTCTCTGTGATTTGTTTTTGGCTGTGATTGCGGACAGCGTCTATGATGCGCGGTCCAGAGTGTTGATCGGTAGATGTGCTCACAAGTTGAATTTATCATGGATGGATGTAGTACGCTTCGAACGGCGATTGACAGAAGCCTTAGAAGTGCAAGAAGGTATCAGTAAAGGGGATCACACGGATGTCATCGAGGCACACCAGAAACAGTCACGGAACAAGCGCCTCCTGATGGTAGGTGCTGCGACCATTGGTGGTGGACTTGTAATTGGTCTAAGTGCTGGTCTGCTGGCTCCTGTCATTGGGGCCGGACTTGCAGCAGGATTCACAACAATCGGTATCGGTGGTACCTCAGGCTTCTTAGCTGGTGCGGGTGGAGCAGCGGTAATTACCACGGCGGGGACAGTTACTGGAATGAACATTGCTGGCAAGGGGATGGGTAAACGTACTCAATCCGTCACGACCTTCCAGATCTTACCGCTGCATAACAACGGAAGAGTCAATGTGTTTTTGACTATGCCCGGGTGCGTGTCATATCTGCCTCTGAATTTTTTTACTCGTCAAAGACGGTCTAGCCACATATCTTTGTGTAATATCACTGAAACTCATTTGATCAATCCTTTTCAATCATCTCACATACCTTAATGGATCCTGTACACTTCAAACTCATGAAACAATCAATCTCTTGGTCAAGAAGAGCAGATTCATGGAAGGTGCCAATGATGACGTGCGATTACCATTTAGCGTGATGGACCAATCGATGGGAGATGTACTATCAATACTTTGGGAACCACAGATGATGGGCGAGACAGGAAACATCATTCGGATCTTAACATCAGAGGTTTTGACTCAAGGAGTCCAACAAGTCTTACAAGCTACCGTACTGACAGCTTTGATGAGTGCGCTTCAATGGCCATTGATGTTGACGAAACTCGGCTACCTTATCGATAACCCTTGGTCAAATGCACTCGACCGAGCGCGTGCGGCTGGATTAGTATTAGCCGATGTGTTGATCAAACGACATGTGGGTGTAAGACCAGTGAGTTTGATCGGATTCTCACTCGGTGCGCGCGCGATCTTTTATGCACTAGTGGAACTTGCTCGTAAGAAGGCATACGGCATCGTTCAAGAAGTTTATCTTCTCGGAGCTACTGTCACTGCACCCACACGAACCTGGAGAGATGTAAGGGGAATCGTAGCTGGTCGATTTGTCAATGGGTATTGTAAGAGGGATTGGATTTTAGGATACCTCTACCGTGCTACGACTGGTGGTTTGAGGACTGTAGCTGGACTTGGTCCGGTGGAATCGGTTCCTGATCTTGAGAATGTAGACTTGACGGAAATTGTTGTGGGACATATGAGTTATCGAGCACAGATGCCTGTTATCTTGGAAGAACTCGGTTTTCGGGTCACGGCTGATCACTTTGATGAACCTGAAGCTATGCAAGAAGATGATGAACCAGAGAAAGAGACTTCGACACAAATCAAGACAGTCAAAGAAGCAGAAGAGAAGAAACGGATGATTCTTGGTTTTACTAAGAAACTGAAATCTGCGGCTTCTACAAAGACGAAATCGAATCAATCAAAAGCTGAAGATGACGATCAACCTGAACGGATGGACAAGGTTAACAGTCGAACTAAAGTCACATCACCGACATCAAAGTCACAGTCAGACTCGGCACCATACCAGTCGTTATCTGCTGAGCAGGCCGGATCGAGTACATCAGAATCCGACGATGATCAAGCAGCTACACCTAAAGCAGGTTTTGTTCATACATTTGATGTACGTGCCATCAAATCACAATTAGCGAAATCAGGACTTGATGATAGTGGTAATTGGAACCAACAAAGTAATGAAGGAACTTCTAAATGGAATCAAACATCTAGATCACAATTTTGGACTAAGAATGAGAATTCTACTGGTTCATCATCAACGTGGAAACCATCAGATCCTTGGAATTCTTGAAGTGTTTAATTTTGTTCCTTTCCAAAGTTTTTTTACAACTCTTTATTACTTTGTAATCATAATTAGATCAAATGATGTTTACCCCTTTTTAATTTTCCAAATTTGCTCTTTTTATACAAGTTGTTTTTTGATTGTCAATTTAGCCTTTTTTTATTTGAAGATTGAGGTGCATGTGATGAAAGATGTATCTCACCGCTTTGACAATTTTCATTTGTTTTTCTATTTGCAGATTACAATCCAACTTTTTTTTTTATGTCTATATTTCGGACTTCACTTGTGTATGATTCTCTTCAGACGAGAGGAATAATAACGTTTCCTTTTGTTTTGAAGTCATTGATGATTGTTGTGTTTTATCGAATTCCAAATTCGCGTTGAAAGAGTCATTGCTTCGTAATAGTATGATAAAGTTTGTATCTGTTTCTTTGCGACTCAAATTTCGCGGTGACATCAGTTTACCATAAAATGTCTACTGGCGGACAAATCTATCTTGAGATTTTTTGAGGTGCTCTTTATTCATATTGCACGAAGCTCCCATATTGTACATCTACTGTGAGTACCAACTCTTTCGTTTTGTTATTGTAACTTGGTGAGGGGTGCCTGAAATAGCCCGTCATATTAATATCAGCATCCTGCATGTCAATAAAATCGTACTCGATCTCCAACGTTTCTACTTTTTATCCCTCGAACTCGAGGTACGCGCTGAACGAATACGACATGCATAGCATTGTCAGAAGATACTCAAAACTGAATTATTCCGACTTCATGACCACAATTTCTAAGCTCAGCTCTGGTGTTAAAGAAGATAACAGGAAAAATTTAGCTTCAATTGAGTCTAACGGTGTCTGAGGGCAGACAGGAATACATACTCTTAAACCTGACTCTTGGCTGAACAACTTTGGTGTGCGACCAGGTACGTAATTCCTCCACCGAGAAAGCAGGAATAGACTGAAGCCA